TTCGAGTCCGATTCTGAAGTGTGGACTCCAAGTTCCAGACCTGCTGGCGAAGAAGCATCCTCTCCACTACCACCCTCGATGACTCCTCCCGGTAGCGAGTGCTCCCCTCAAATAGCAGGGTGATTTGTGCCTCTTGGTCCCGGACGAGCAGTTCCTGGGCCTTGCTCCCCTTTCGAGCCTGAAAGACTTCAACTTAGGCCCGGTCGAGCTTGCCCTGGAGCTTCTGCACGGTCGACCTCTAAGCAAGAGCGTCGCTGGAGTGAATGTTGGTCTGGAGGGCCATGGCGTGGATGGCGGAATTCACTTGCCAACAAAAGGTCGAGGTCAAAAAAGAAAAAAGAAGGAGAAGAAGGAAAAAAAAAGCAGCCACTTACCACCATGCATTGAGCGGAGGCTAGCATGACGAGTTGCTTGGGGTCCATCCCTCCCCAGCTGGCGACCTCGTCGTGGGAGACCGCCTTTCGGCTCCTTTGCGAAGCCATGGTGAAGTCGGTGACACTTTCCCACCCTCCGGTAGGGAACCGTGGGAAAGCGAAGGGGTGGAACTGCTCAGGTGGACGGAGCTGACCTTGCGCCGGGACCTCGTGCTCTTCTGCGCCACCTTCTGTGCCTACTCCCTCGAACGGGACCGGTGGGACCTTAGGCGGTGGTGGAATGAAGGCTGGATCAGCAGCCTCAAACTCAGCGCTCCTGGAAGTGGAAGTTCGGTCAGGGCACGACCTCTTTGCCCTGTGCTTCTGGTTGCTGGACAGAAGGCGTCGTGCGTCTACACTAGACATGTCGACTGCCAAAAATCACAAGGCATTAGTCCAAGCAAAAAAAAAAAAAAATTACAAGGCATTGCACGACCTAAAAGGCAACCTACCGGGGCTCAGGCCGACCTGCGCGAGCTTGTCCTTGGTCAAGTAGTCCGACCAATGGAAGCCAACCACTGCCCAGGATTGCAGCGTTTCCCAAACTTTGAGATCCAAGTCAACACCCGAATCCTGGATGGCGGCCCTCCAGTGGGTTGGGAAGGGCCACCCTTCGGGGTTGCGAACTACAAAATAGTCCCGCGTCTAGGCCGGGATCCTATTCGGCAGCTCGTGCAGGAGCTTGAAGCCAGGACGGGGAGAAAAATAATAGGAACGCCTTTCTAGAGGCGCTCCGGGAGAAGCATTCTTGATGGAAAGGATGGTGGAGAAGATGTCGAGGTCAAGAGGAAGACAATATTCATAAAAAAAATAAATTGTCCCAACTACATTTCTGATTGAGTTGGGGTGAAGCTGGTCTATAGTAACGTTAAGATGGTTTAATACCTCCACTATCAAAGGGTGCAGAGGAAGATGGAGGCCAGCGATGAGCTGCTCTTGGAAGATCACGATCTCATCGTGACCGTGTTCCCAAGGATAGTCATCAGATGAGAGACTATAGATGAGGTTTCTGGGGAGGTTAAATTGGAGGACCAAGGTCTTGAGTCTCTCCATCGACATGGAGGAAGGACCAAAGCTGTCCGGCTCCCTACCCCGGGAAGGAGAAGCCATTTGGTCGGAGGCCTCTCGAGCCTCCGGAGCTTGCCCCCAAGGTCTCCCTGAGCTCGCAGGGGCATCATCTCGTTTACCGCCCTGGGGAATGACGTTGCACGGATATCCAGACATGCTGACAAAGTGATAAGACTCACCAGGGAAAAAGTTGAACCGAAAAGACAGTGTGAACAGGAGAAGAGCTCGAGCAACTAGGTGAAGGCGCGACCTTAGAATCCGAAGGCAAGGCAAGTTGATGTGAAGGAAATGAGGCATGGGGCCCTCCTATTTATAACCATTGTGCCCACAAAACCGACGGCTCAGATTAAGGCAAATCTGACGGTTCGTAGTCAAGCTGATCGCACGTCTTCTGAAACCGAAATGTGACTGGCTAAACGTCTTCCATGATTAAGGTAATGCTGGCTACACGCCTTTCAGAGGTGAGAGCCATTTTGGCGTGCTTTTTGGCATTCGAAAAGTCTAGAAATCGTCTGACATCCATGTGTGTATTTAATGCGATTAGTCAATCAAGTTTGAATTTCAAGTCAATTCCACCCGTCACACTCCATGAACTCCTCGCGCCAAAGTAGAAACCTTAGCCCGAGGAGTGGGGGGCAATTGATGGAGGGTGATTTGACCCGACCTCTTAAGAAGGTGACATGTGGACGTGACTCAGCATAAGCAACAACTCAGTATGACAGCCTGGCTACGACTGAGTAGCGAGCTCGTTAAGGTCCTCGTAGGACAACTCGCTACATTACAGCTCGCCACAGTGCGAGCTCATGGACCCTAGTGTGTGGAAAGGGAATACTCCAAGACAAGTCTATTCCAGCTCGCGAGTTGAAGAGAACCAGCTCGCTCCAATACTTAGGCAAGAAGATTGCCCCAAAGGCAACCTCAAGCGGAATCACCTCAGGACACATCCAGGAGCTCGCTACAAGGCAGCTCGTTATGGGATAGCTCACTTCAAAGCAACTCGCCGTTAAGCGACGCGGCGTTCTCAAGAAGCTTCTTATCTGACGAGACTGTACCCGTCAGACTGCATCACGTCTCATGACTGACGGCGCAGTCCCTGCCAACCCAGCAGATTGCTCCCACGTCTCTCGACAGGTGGTGGCGTGTCTGTCTTTTTCGGGTCGTGTCTCTCATCTGATTGGACAGTACTCTGCAACAGTTACTTGTGCAGCCCTTGCAAATAACGGCTGCGACAGAGGGCTAGTGGTGGTTAGGCCCGATTTGACAAGAACATCTGCATTTAAAGGCCCCAAGGTCGAAGGGGCGAAGGTACCTTGAATTAATCTCGAATCTTACTGATCTAGTGCTATATGCACTCTTAGCTCTCTTTGCACCCCTTACAAATCTCCCAAGTATTTTAATTTAAGCATCGGAGTATTCCCACCGGGCGAGCTCCCCGGGAATCCTCCACCTTCCTCTTCTCAGGTACCGTTCGTTGCAGCTAGAAGCCAAGCATCCGCAAGCTAAGAGTTCCCGGATTGTGCTGCATCTCGCCGGTGCTCCGCATCACAAGAATTGTCTTGGAATCGCAGCAGCTCGATGGATTCTTTTCTCGTGCAATCAGTCGTCTCACGGAACTCAGAGAGCTCTCTCTCCTAACAATCACCTCGATGAGAAAATTCCTTGACAAATCATTGACTGCCGGAAATTGCAAATCCTAAAGCAGCGATCCCTTGATCGTTGACAAAATTCTTCTCCTCTTGCAAATCGTCTAACGGAACTCAGAGAGCTCTCTCTCCTAACAATCACCTCGATGAGAAAATTCCTTGACAAATCATTGACTGCCGGAAATTGCAAATCCTAAAGCAGCGATCCCTTGATCGTTGACAAAATTCTTCTCCTCTTGCAAATCGTCTAACGGAACTCAGAGAGCTCTCTCTCCTGCAATCGTTGACAAAATTCTTCTCCTCGCTTGTAAGCGATCCCTTGATCTATCTTCAAATAGCTTTTTGGGGTGATCTGTCCAACGGTGATACTCTGTTGAGACCTAGTTTTTATGCGGAAAGTAGCAGTGTAAATTTTCCACCGATCACTAATCGGTTTAATGTAAAATTTGAATTTACACCTGAAACAAAATGCAACGTAATTTAAATGGGCTCATGTGAGTCCAAAAAGTTTGAATATGTTTTAGCTTCAATTGCTTGTGGCAGGCAAATACTGTTTTCGGGGGGTTCATGGGTTCTCTGTTCAGAAGACAGAAGACGCCATGATTTCATTTGAAACTTGAAAAATGAAAACCTCAAGCTTCCACGCTAGGGTTTTAGGAATCAGGTAGTTTGACTTTTCAGGTCTACCGTCTACTGTTTGTTACATTCAAAAGAAGTTTATTGGAACAGAAATACTAGCAGGAGCGGTGGGTGCTGGAATTAAGTTGGTTATTTTCAAATTTCAATGGTCCGTCCCCTTCTTTCTCATTAGTTTCCATCTTTTTGTTATGAGATTGTTAAATTTTCATTTTCATTTCTTCATCAAGCCGGCCATCTCGACTTTATCCTTATTCCATTCTCCCCCCTCAGGCCCTCAGTATCTAGCTGATGATATTTTAAGGGCGTGTTTGGTCCATGGTTGCTTTTGTGTTTCAGGATAAAAAATCCTATTTTATGCTTTGGCTATATCATTTTCATTTAAACCTATATTATAAAGAAAGGGATCAAATCAGCCCCTCCACCCCCACCCACACCCACACATATCCCACAGCACATTTTCACCATGTATATGATATTATTGCAAGATGTTCCCAATAAACAACGAGGATGTACTATGGGACATTGTGAGGGACAATCTTGTGGAGAGAAGGGCTTAAGGATTCGTCCATGATGCCATAAAGACATGTTATTAAAAAAACTTATAACAAATCAAAGCTGGCATTAAAATTCATCTGGTTTTGATTGATTCCTACCATATATCATATATTTTATATTTTTCTTTTTGATAAATATCATCTCATTGATTATCATTTTTATGATATGGATTGATTGATTACAAAGCTATATTTTGATATATAGTTGAAAATATTTTGTACGAGTACCCAAAAAAAGGCTACATCATTTGTGATTGTGCGTTTTTCAATTTTCATATTTATTTGGAATGACCAAATGGACCCTACAAAAATTGCTAGGTGGCAATTCAGAACCGGACCCACCATGAATCAAATTCAACGGTGTCCAAATTGGGGCTTGACCCGGCTCCACCGAATAACCCAAGACATCGCCAACCCCACCAACCTTTATAATGGCGGGCCCCATATTTACCACTTCCCTACATTTCCACTTTAACAAAGCAATCTTGCTTCCGAAAAGTTATCAGGACAAGTCCTCTTGAGCAATCATCATCTCATCAACCACAAGATTGTCGAGAAAAAGAAAAAACTTTCTGTTTTAACGCAATACACAGAAATACGATGTACGATTTGGATTCCATACGATCAAGATGCACATACCCAATGATCAGAACCATTGATTGAAGGAAGACGCAATGAAAATGATCAGGACTTCGCGTGACGCGCTCTCCAGTCGTTTCCATCTGGCTCTCAGTTGTTGCAGTTCTTCCACCAACAAATGGGGAGAATTTAGAAGTGACAAATAATATAAGAGTTTGGAGGAAAATGAGGAAATTAGTAGGAAGGAAGGATAAAAGGCTTGACCTTCAAAAGTAACTAATTTAACCAACCAACCTTGGGATCATTTTCTCCTCTCTTCGCCCAAACACCAATTCAGAGGAAAGTAGAAAGCAATCTTCTCTCTCAATTCTCAGAGCTCTTCAAACCCTTTAAAGAGCTTTGTGGAAGAATCCGACTTATGCTCTTCTTTCTCTCTCATTTAATTGGTTTCAGTCACAGAGGCAGGGCGGGTTGTTTGGGGGGAGGGAGAGAGAGAGAGAGGAAGAGAGGGACCTGTAGTTTCTTCCTCTTTTCTCTTTCAGGGCCTCCAATGGTGACCGTACAATCCCATGGTATTTGGATATATGCTTAGAATAGGAAACGGCTTGCGGACAACGGAGAGAAGACCAAAACCTTGAAAAATCCGGCCAGCTTTGGAGGGTTTGGAATTTTAGATAAAAGATGTTTGTGTGCAAATGTTTTTATTGGACTAGAGTTTCCGATTGCTTTTTGCACGAGCCGGAGCCTTATTCGCTGCCGGCGCCGATCCCGGAATGGCCTGAAGGTATGAATTTGGAGAAAAGTCTCTCTCTCTCTCTTGTGAATTAAGTTGTTACATTTGTCTTTTTTTCTGGGTTGTTTTATTTTTTCTTTCTCCTTTGTTGATGGCTGTGGGGTTTGCTTGAATGTGTCTTGCCTGTGTAATTTGCATCAATTGAAGTTGAGGATTCTTTCTCCTTTCTTTTTTCCTGAAAAGAATTGTTTCTAGACTTTTAGTCCATATGGGTATCTGATTTCATTGTTGGTGTTTCTGTGTTGTTGCATGATAACATGCATTAGAGATGGATCGTGGGTTTTGACCTGACATTGTTGCCCTTAATTAGTTCTTTTTGTTCTTGTCCGTGAGAATGGGGATATCTTATGGGATTATTGGGTATATTTTCAAATCAAAACTGGGTTTAAATTTATTAGCTTATGTTTGTCTACAAAGAAACTCTGGTTCTGTTGCCGACAAACACCCCCCCCCCCCAACCCAAAACAAGGAAATAATAAGATGATATAAAATAGAGGTTTGTGTGATCGACTTTGATATGGGATCTGAACTCTTCCATCTTTTGCAGTCTGGTATTTTGATTATTGTCAGTTTTTTTATATAGCATGCTGTTCTCTCTCTTTCCGCATTTCTTTAGATAGGTTCGACTGGACAGACTGGGATATGGCGCCATGAGTTAATTAGATAATTTATGTAGGAAATTTGCTTCTTTTCTTTCTTTACTTTTGGGATGTGATAGTGTGGTTCTAGGTAACCATACTGACACACTGAATTCCCTGAACTATATGCCAAATCATTCAGACATGAGTGTACTGGGATGATGGGTTATAACTCAAAATGTTATAGCAATCAGACTAGCTACCAAAGGACTAACAACCAACTTTATATAATCATCGCTGACTTATAGAATGAGAGTTCAATTGCTGACCAGGTTGTTCATCTTGTTTGGTTGTCTTTGATTACTCAAGTAGCATACTTTAAAGGTTATGGTCCACTGACAAAGTTGTCTACCAATGGTGGACTCAATTTTGATAGATAAATGCTGCATTTCCATCTTCCATCTTACATAGAAGAGAAAAATTGCATATATTAGCTCTCTTTTCTGATAATCTTTTAGTGGTTAATCTGTTGCTTATGTCACACCTGAATGGAGCATATTCAGGTTTCCTTTTTATCACTGATGAATTCTTAGAACATGCAATGTTGTATATGCTGTACTTTTAGGCTTATCTGTTAGTATGCTAAGTTTGTATATTTTCTCTATCCTATGCTTCTACTGTGGTCCTTCATAGGGGAGAAATGGTGGAATTGGATTCATTTATCTGAGCCCAAATAGTTAGATAAGGCTTTGTTAGGTGAAACATGCATGCCTCTATCTTTGTTAATACTTTTTTCTTTTTTAATGGTTGAGAACTTTAAACCAATTGGTGCTTTTGCGCATCTGTGCCATTGATGGATGTGAGTCAGATTTGTACCATATAGATTGTTCAAAACTCCTTTTGATGTTTTACTTGGTTCCCTGTGCTTCAATGATGAGTCAGATTTCCTCATGTTATGTTCCCTGTGCTTCAATGATGATTAATATAGGAGCTTTCATAAGTTGATTTTCAGTAGTGTATGTCTTCTTTGTTTCGTTTGGAATATTTAGGTGGATAAAGTACAATTTTTCTAAACAGTCTATCCACATATGTTTCTTCTTTAACTAAATTATGCAAATACATTAGCAATCTGTGCCCTGGTATTAAAACAGTGTTGTTCATTTTATTACGTTCACTTGTATAAGTCATATTCTGTTGTAGTTATTGGGATTCTATTTTAGGAGATCACTCATCTTACAAAATTTCAGGGATATTCATATGACAGTGGGTGTTGTAGAAAATAGCATTACATCTTCAGTTACATTAATTGCATTTATTTCAAATGAGAGTATATAAAAACTTGGTATTCTGTAGAATGGTTTGACAATGAAAATGTTAAGATATTAAATAATTATAGCAATCTTGGGTTACTGGCTTACAAAATTATCCATGCTATTTTGGTTTATTAGAAAAGTAGTGAGAAACAGAAAGTTGTGGGAAAGTCTTTTAGGAATTTTATGATTGTAAAACAAAGTTAGCTTGAAATTCTGAATCATTATTGGTTATCTTTCCAGGCAAAGGTTTTGGTACTGGAAGAATATGTCTAGGAGAAATAGAAGTTCTTAAGGTCACCAAGTTTGTGAGTGTCTGCAGCTGTAATGTTCTGAATAACAGGAAAAAAGGTGTTACATTCTATAAGCCCATAATACCAGATGGATTTTTCAGCCTTGGTGATTACTGCCAATCAAATGACCAACCTTTGCGGGGGTTTGTTCTTGTGGCTAGGGACATGGTTGCTCCTGATACAGAATCTCGTCAAATTAAGTCATTTAGGGAATTGCCAGCTCTTAGAAAACCTATTGACTATAAATTAGTTTGGAGTACAGATGAATGCAGCGAGGAAAATCATTGTGGTCGTGGTTTCTTTTGGTTTCCAGAACCACCAGTGGGTTACAAAGCTATGGGCCATGTGATTACCAGTAAGCCGGAAAAGCCTGCACTTGAAGAAGTGAGATGTGTTCGAGAAGATCTTACTGAGACTTGTGAGAACTCTTGTTTAATCTTTAATGCAGATTCAAATATTTGCAAGTTCCCACTTCAGGTCTGGAACACAAGAGCTTGCAACCGGGGGATGCTGGGAAGAGGTGTTTCTGTTGGGACATTTTTCTGCAGTAGCTGCTCAGGTTCTGACAATGAGCTAGGCATTGCATGCTTGAGGAATTGTGATCCAAATCTACATGCCATGCCAAATATGGAACAGATCCATGCACTCATCGAGCATTATGGGCCCACTGTTTTCTTTCATCCTGATGAGAGTTATTTGCCCTCCTCTGTGCCATGGTTTTTCAAAAATGGAGCTTTGTTGTATCGAAAAGGTGGGCCATTTGGTGAGCCTATTGACTCTAGAGGCTCCAATCTGCCGAGTGGTGGGAGTAATGATGGGGAGTATTGGATAGACTTGCCAAATAATGAACAGAATAGCATCAAGTATGGCAACATAGAGAGTGCAGAACTGTATGTTCATGTGAAACCGGCTCTTGGAGGAACCTTCACTGATATCGTTATGTGGATATTTTGCCCATTCAATGGACCAGCCACAATGAAGTTTGGGGCAGTGAATATTGCACTTGGTAGGATAGGGCAGCATGTGGGTGATTGGGAGCATTTCACACTACGTATAAGTAACTTCACTGGCGATCTCTGGAGCATGTACTTCTCTCAACACAGTGGAGGAGAGTGGGTGGATGCTTGGAACTTGGAATTCATTGAGGGGAACAAGGCGATTGTTTATTCATCAAAAAGCGGTCATGCAAGCTTTCCGCATCCTGGGACCTATCTTCAAGGATCTACAAAGCTGGGGATAGGAGTGAGGAATGATGCTGCGCGAAGCAACTTTTGTGTGGATTCTAGCAAAAAATATCAAATTGTTGCAGCAGAGTATCTTGGAGAAGGAATTGTTACTGAACCGTGTTGGTTGCAGTATATGAGAGAGTGGGGTCCGACTATTGTGTATAATTCAAGAACTGAACTGGAAAAAGTAATCAGTTATCTCCCAGTCTTGATCCGGTTTTCAGTGGAAAACATTTTTGATAAGTTCCCAGTAGAGCTTTATGGGGAGGAAGGACCAACTGGACCCAAGGAGAAGAACAATTGGGTGGGGGATGAAAGAGGATGACTAAAAACCCCATCGTCCAGCCTCACCGGAAGTTCCCTCGTATTGTTCTATACATGTTAGCCAGATTGGAAATTCAACAATAGTCTGTTGTAAGAGTGTACATCATTCATGTTAATGTATTTCAGATGATTGAGTTGAGGCAGAGAAAGAGAGAGAGAGAGAGAGAAATCTGCTTCTTTATGGCCCAAGTTTTCCAAACAAGGAGAAAATTTCTCAAGTCTTGCATGTTTACAAGTGTAGAGAACCCGATGAGTCTTGCATGTTTCAGAGACTACATGAGAAAACTGTCTTGCTGGTTCTGGAAAGAGATGCTTTTGATGGTTTATTGGGAAAACATTTGGCTGCAAATTCTGCTAATGTTTTCCTTGTCCATGCCCACCATATCTCTTGTTCTTAACTGAACTAAGTAGCAATATCAAAGCATCCACAGAGAACCATCGATTTCTTTGCACATCAATCAACAGGACTGGACTGGTAGCTGTTGCCTCTTAGTTTATATTTATTCTTCCACCCCTAACCCAAACGCTTAATTCAAGGTGACGGGATCTGTTCCTTATAAATGGGCGCTTCACAGGCACATCCACCGTGCATTCGAACATCTGCCTTGAATAATAATTTATAAGGATGTGCGTGTGAGGCGCCAGATGTGAGGAGCAGTTTTGACTATTGAAAATCAACTTACAGCCAGAGCCCTACCACATGGCTAGCTGCACCGATTGCCTGGCATTAATCGGTCTTTGGAAGTGATTATTGTTTATGAATAAGTACTTATTAAATAAGCAGTTTCTGAGATCAATTCAACATCCACCAATCCAGTGTTTATGAATAAGTACTTATTCCTAGTCAATATTTTGTTTTAACAATTTTTTTGGGGTGTTCTTTAGTGTGAATTCATTTTCTTATTGTGAGTTCTAAAAACAAATTAAAAATAATCTGATTTGGTAATAAATCATTTTTTAAATAAAAAAATTTAAATCATACAATAATATCTCATACATCTTCCTTGAATCATACAATCTGTATTGCAATATTTGTTTTTGTTTTAAAAACCATCAATTTGATGGTTTAAAAATTTGAATTGTTTTTTAAAGAAAACCAACTTATTTATTGCTTCTCTAAACAAAAATACTGTTCAGGAACATGTTTTTATATTTTTTTTGCTGATGTGGCAATTTAAAAACAAATACTTAATCCATATATATGCCAGGTCTAATCCCTCTCAAGCCATAAAAGAAGAAAAGTGAGAGGTGTAGGTCTATTGCAAATACAGGTGTATATAATAGGCCATGCAACCAATCATGAGTGAATACGATAATGTTCTGTACACGTGGGACCTGGTGTAGAACACTAGTGTTCACTTGTGATTAAGGCTGCATTTGGAAGTGATGCAAATGGAGTGTAAATCCCGGTTCATGGTAAATTTACACTCCAGTTCACTTTTGTATGCCTTTAGTAATATTACATTTATGCATTGACAAATGACAGATCAATGCAAAAGCATGTTTTATTAGAATTCATGTTTGCATCAATTACAGCTAAAAGTCTGTTTAATAAGAAGATAAATTTATTAGTGCAAAAGTAATCCAATTTTTACAATTTATATGAACCATTTTACACTCTACATATTTACTTTCACACTTACGCTACGTTTGGTTTGAAGGAAAAAATAAGGAAAGGAAGGAAAAGATAAGAAAGCCTATACAAGATTCTTACTTTTTCCTTCAAACCAAACATAACCTTAAAGTTCAAAGTATGGCTAAATTGCTGAAAGCTCCCCAGAAGTTTCTAACAGTTGTTGATCCATACCCTACATAATTTTGCCAATGGCAGTCAGCTGATCAGCTCCCCTAAAGTTTTATTATGGCAGCATTTGCAACTACAMCTCTTTCTTTTTGTTAGCTTAAAAAGATAACAGAAACGATATCAGTGTTTTCTGTTGTCTTTTTTATGCAGATGTAACAGTTGATTGGCATTGGTAATTAAAAAGCAAGATATGGGTCAGCAATTGTCAGTCAGAAACTCAAGGGAGGCCTCAGCAATTATCCTCAAAGTATATATAGATATATTTTCAAGCCTTAAAATCATTGATACTCTCACCAAGGTTTAGAGTCGGTCACCAATTCAGGCGTGATTCAGTTGGTATGTTAGCTAGTTCACTCCAGTATAAGCGTGGATTCGATTGTCACAACCACTGACTTTGAGGGTATTAATGTAGTGTGTATCACCAAATACCAAATACCAAATACCAATGAGGTGGATTCAGAAATCACAAACCATGAACAAGCCGATTATATTCTAGAAAATGAACTATAATATTTTAGTCCCTCTTAACAAAATTCCACTTAACCCATTCCAAGGAGTAAGCTTCCTGCAATTCTGCAAAATGTCATAAAAAAGAATCATACTTTTGCATGCATGAACCAGTGGGAATGGAGGGTGAAATAGAACTTGAGATCCAGTCATTATTGACCTTAAGGATTCATTTGGTTTGTGGGATGAGAAAGGGAAATATGGAACATTTTGGGGTATTCTTCCCTTCCCGTGTTTGGTTTGTGGGATGTCATAAGACAAGATGGAAAAAAAGGTGGGATTATAAATTCCAATTATTGGGATGTAGAATCTCACCATTTTGGTGTGAAACAAGTGGGAATGGAGGGTGAAACTTATTTAACAATAAAAAACACTTACCTTGTAGTGTTTTTAACAGTAAATAAATATTAGAACCATGACCCATTAAAAATTATTAATAATTTAAAAATATATTTAAAAATAATTAATAAAATATTAATTCATTAAAAATAATTCAATAATTAACTAATGTGTCAGAATAAAATATTAAAATTATTAATTAAGTGATAACTATTAATAAAACAAAATATTAATAATAAGATATAAACTAATAAAATTTAAAATATTATAATAATAATCAATATAAAATTAAAAATTGATAATAAAATATTAAATCATAAAACTATTATTATTTAATTAATAATTAACATCAAAGTTGTCAATAATTAATCAATTAACTAATTGATGATGAATAAAATAATTATTTTATTATTAATAATCTAAATAAAAATAAAATAATTAAGCATTGAAAACATTATTAATAATTAATATTAAAATATTAATTAATTGATAATAATTAACTAATTAATTAATAGTTTGAAATAATTCATAGTAAAATATTAAATAACAAAAATGTATTATTAAATAATTAATAATTAATCAATAATTAACAATAAATAGTTAATAATTAACTAAATAAGTAGTTAATGAATAAATAATAGAAAATTTTAAATAATTAAAAACAATTAATAATGCAATTAAAAATATTATTTAAGTAATAATAAATGTTAATAAAATAATTTTCTAAATAAAAATTAAAATATTAGTTCCTAATGAATATTCAAATGACTAATTCTCAATATAATTAATTATAAAATTAACTAATAAAATATTAATAATTAGTAATTAATTAATTAATTGTAAAATATAAAATCATAAAACTATTACTAATTACCTAATTAATTAATAATTGCTATTAGGGTTGATTTTCCCACTAGTTTCCCTTTTAGAACCAAAGAATGGAACATGGAAAATTTCCACCAATTTCCCTTTTCTCATCCCATCCCATCTCATTGTTTTCCATCCCACCAAAATCTTCCCTCAAACAAAACTCCGCCTAGCAAAATGTAAATCAATTAATACCTTTGTAAGCCTTAAGTGAAGGATAGCAAAAACCTCTGAAAACAAAGTTGATTTGGGAGAGTCAGAAAATAACTGAGCTACCAGAAACCTTCCATTACTATCACTAATCCAAATATCATAACTTGGATATAGAGCTGCACATAAGTCAGATCAAATCCTATTTGAATCCGAATTCGATCAATCCAGTAAGATCGATCTGGATTTGGATACCTCTCTTGGTCCTAACAAATAGGAAAAGTCGATCTATTGATTGTTTAGTTAATGGATCAAATTCGAATATACCCCGATCTAATTTATTATGAAATTAATTTATATTTTATATTCATATATTATATAATTATATTCTATATACTATTTATATAATTATATTATCAAATTCTTTATTACAATTTAAATTGAATAGGAGAATTACTTCCATCCACCCAAATTTTTCAAAACAGATACATGTGAGGGGATGGTTAGTGATCTGCGCGGCTTCCTGAAAGCTGGTTGGTGACATCTATATCTAAGCATGCATTCATCTGATTTTGGATTAACCTGTGATGGAGAGTCAGGTCAAGATTAGAGTTGGTATTTTTAATTAAACAGCTTATTATATATTATTCCTCATGATCCAAATAAACAAGGCGCGACAATTAATTAATTGATCCTATCGGTTGGGTTGATGGATAGATTGTGAGCCTAAGATTTGAACCAATCTAATAAACTGGTCCAACCTAGGAGGGGGAATTAATTAATCACTTTAGGAGCTGTTTGACATCGTTGCCGTTTCCTGGAGAAACGACGCAACATCAGCATTAAATTGAAAAAAAATGGTGCTTCAGAAAACGGGTATTTGTTTGGAACCGCTTTTTATGAAAAAATGGTGCTCTAAGCCATGTCTTGGAAATCAGGAAGCCATAGCTTGGAGCAACGCTAAATTTGGCGTTTCCTGGAGCTATAGCTCATTGCTGTCAACAGGACAGTGATGTGGCACTGGATAATGGGTACCAGTGTTGAAAACGTTTCCCAGAGCAATGGTACCAAACAAAAAAGTTGCTGTTGCTCTAGGAAATATCCTACCTGACAGCAATGACTTCAAACAAAAATAAAAGCACCATTTTCCAAGCCACACATCAGCAGCACCGTTTTCTCAACTGTAGCTGCAACAGCTGCAACTCCAAGCCACACATCGATGCTGCAACTAATTTGAACCTTTCATTCTACAGAGTTCACAATAAATTGTTATCATTGTTTTCTGTGGCCGATGTTTGTAAACTAAAGCTTGGGGTGATCTAGGTTACGTTGTATTATACCATTGCTATTTCTACTTGAAACATTTTGGGGTTAATCAATATAAAAATTAATTGACATACAACTGTTATTTTATACAGTTTACAATTGAAATAGGCATACGAAGTCGCAAATTGTTTAGAGGTACAAGAGTTTTTAGTTTTTTTTTTTTTATGAGAAACCTAGTGTGAACTGAAGCAGTTGGGATGTTTAGGGTGTATTATAATGGCTTCTGATGACGACGTTACCTCGAGTGTTACATCTGGACAAAGGGGACTGAATAATAACATAGACCATACGAATTTCCCAATGACAATGACTGTGAAACATAGGGCAGATGGTACAGTGGAAATATACAAGGTTCAGTTAGTAGCAAAAGGGTTTACATAGGTATATAGAGTTATAGGGACCTTTGCACCCATGGCCAAAATGAAATCTATTAGAGTTCTACTTTCTTTGATTGCTAATTTAGAT